GCGCTGCACCCCCCCCAGCAGCCCAGGGAGACGCTGAGCAAAGCGGTGCAGGACCCGGGGCCGGACCCGCGGCCGCTTCCAGATCAGCTGATCTGGAAGCAGCCGCGGGGCCGGCCCCGGGTCCTCTGCCGCTTTGCTCCCGTCTCCCTGGTCCGCTGGCTCCCCCAGCAGACCAGGGAGACGGGGAGCAGCTTTTCTCGCCCCGGAGGAGGCAGGCGGTGGGACCAGGCGTCCCGCCGCTCCAGTCCTCCGGGGCGAGAAAATCCCCGTTCGTAACTGCGGATCTGACATAAGTCGGATCCACGTAACTCGGGGACTGCCTGTATCACGCATGTAGAGCTGGAAGGGACTTTGAGACATCATCAAGTCCAGTCCTCTGTGCTGAGACAGGAACAAGTAAACCTAGACCAGCCCTAGGGCCGTCAGGGGCTTTTCTTGTGGCCAAAGCCTCCTGAGTGGTGATTGTGGGGGAACGGGTAAAACAGTGGCCCCTCCTCTGGGGCTGCTAGGAGGGGTTGTGCCCTCCCCTTCTCTTGAGCCACAAATACTAGAGAAGCAGAAACCTGGTATGAGTTCCCCACCTTCCTAGTAGTGGTGGGCTCAGGCTTCTGGCCTGGCAGCGGGCTCCTGCTCGGGTTCTGATCACAGGGTCTTAGAATTTGGCTGCGCAGCAGCAAGCTCTGTGTCCTGGCTCCATCCCTGGACTTGCCACCCCCCACATTGCCCCTGCTGTCCCCCTGCCCACTTTCCCATTCAAGGCTTTACTTATCCCCCAGCTTACCAGGGCTGAGTAAGTCTGGGGTGAAATTTGTATATTTCCACTTAATACCACTTTTTCACAGTCTCACAGCTAGGTAATGGGTGTGTTGCTCTGAAAAGTGATATTAACAAACATATAAATGTCTTTTCACAGCAGCAAACTTAATAGCTAGAAAGTCTAAAAAAATGCAACCAAAAAGGCAAATGAGCCAATAATTTAAAAAAAATACAAGAACATGCAAAGCACCTTATTTGTGTTTCTTTTCTGTTTAGGTCCTGTAAAGAATGGAGACAAATATGTTATTTTTATTATTGCATTTGTAAAAAAAAACCTGCATAAATAAATCACTAAGATTTGGACATGTGTGTATGAATATCTATTTATTTTTTCCTAAAACGAATTAAATATTTTAGGAAAAATTGTCTGAGCAGTCAACAAAATATTGTTGAGAGAATCCCAGCACTAGCCTCTGTTTAACAGAAGCAGGGAAAGACCAACAGGGGATGATACATCACTTGATAATTGCCTGTTCTATTCACTCCCTCTGGAACACTTGACATTGGCCACTATCAGTAAACAGGATACAGGGGCTGGATGGACATTTGGTCTGAGCTAGCATGGCTGTTCTTACGTGTTTGTGAAACATCTTCTTAAACCCTCCCCCCAGTGAGGATTCTCCAGCATCCCTTGCAAGCATATTCTAGTGCTGAGCAATCCTTATATTTAGATTTCCCCTCCCTGCCCAAATCTAACCTAAGTCTCCTGTGCTGAATCATAGAATCATAGAGCTGGAAGAGACCTCAGGAGGTCATCAAGTCCAGCCCCCTGCCCAAGGCAAGACCAATCCCAAAGCCTATTACTTTTTATCCTGCCTCTGCCCGTATAGACGGGCCAAATGTCAGAAAAGCCACTTTTGGAAGAAAAGCGGAAAAAGTACGCAAATTGTAGTTTGCAATTTGCATATCTTTTTCCGACTTTTGTTTGTAGTGTAGACATAGCCTAAGTTGTATTTGCCTAGGTTATTGATAAGATCATGCAAGACTGTATCAAAAGCCTTACTAAAGTCAAGGTATACCATGTGCAACACTTCTCCCTTAAGCACAAGACTTATCATATCAAAGAAAGCTATCAGATTAGTTTGGCATGATTTATTATTTACAAATCCATGGTGGCTATTACCTATCATCTTATTATCTTCCAGATGTTTTTAGATGAATTCCTTAATTACCTGTGCCATTATCTTTCCTGGCACAGAAACTGACCCGTCTGCAGTTTCCTGAGTTGTTTTTCTTTCCCTTTTTATAGATGGGCACTTTACTTGCCCTTTTCCAGTCTTCTGGAATCTCTCCAGACTTCCATGATTTTTCAAAGATGATAGCTAAAGGCTCAGATGCCTCCTCTATCAGCTCCTCGAGTATTCTAGGATGCATTTCATCAGGCCCTGGTGACTTGCAGATATCTAACTTTTCAGAATAATTTTTAACTTGTTCTTTTTTTTTATTTTAACTTCTAAACATAACACATTTCCACTAGCATTCACTATGTTATGCATTCCATCATCATCAAACATCTTGGTGAAGACCAAAACAAAGAAGTCATTAAACACCTCTGCCATTTGCAAGTTTCCTGTTACTGTATATCCCTTCTCACTGAACAATGGGCCTACCCTGTCTTTGGTCCTCCTCTTGCTTCTAATATATTTATAGAATATCTCCTTGTTACCCTCTACATCTCTAGCTAGATTGAGCTTGTTTTGTGCTTTGCCTTTGCATATGTGTGTTATTTGCTTATATTCATTCTTTGTAATTTGACCTAATCTCCATTTTTTATGAGACTCCTTTTTGATTTTTAGGTCCCTTTAAGTAAAACCAAATGGAAAACAATGACTGCTCAATGGAAGTACTGCACTCCCTGAAGTTCCTGCAGATAGGCCACCCAGCCCCTTTCGGTCAATGACAGCTGTGCTTGGCTCACTCCATCCTACTTTAATTGCTGCCAAAGCACAGCTAAAATCTAGGTTAATTACTGACCTTAGTCTCATCTCCCTAGCTGTAATGCTGGAATTCTGAAGACAAAAACAAAAAATTAGTCCAAGTATTTGACTATAGAATGTTGTTTATTTTTATTTAAATCCAATCATTTGGTCTGCTGATTTTCTATCAAACTAATAACTCTATATTTTCATTGTTTTTCCATCTCACCCACCTTTACAATGGCCTTGATTATTACTGGGATAAAAACATACTCAAAATGAAAGAACTAACAAAAGCCAAAAATGTCCAATGCAAAGTACTGCTTTTGCCAATGTGTGTGTCAGCTTTAGTCTCACTTATACGTATGTTTTGAAGGCATTTATTATAGAATAGAAACCTTATTTAAGAGATTGATAACTCTTGATAGAGTTTATTGAGGAATAAATGACAAAACTAGTTTTGTTGCTACAGCTTGCTTATATGAGCAATTCAACTTACACTATTTATAATACTAACATATTAGAATAATCTAGGAACTTTCCTTCTAAGCTTACACATTTCAACTAGAAAATGCATCAATTCCACCACAGTGTGATAATGTCCAAGACCCTACATGCAAACTTTCTTAACACTTAGGGTACATCTACACTGCACACTTATTTCAAAATAAGCTAGTCCAGAAGAAATACTCCATAATAGCTTATTTCAAAATAGCATATCTACACTACAAGGAAGCCTCAAAATTAGTCTGAGGCAGGCTTCCCCTTTATTTTCAATTTAAACCAATTTTTATTCAAATTCCCAGACTTTACAATAAGAATTCCCAGCATTTATAAGAAGTATTGTTCACTTTTTTTCAGATTTCCACCCTATTTTTGTATCATCCAAATATATTTTTAAAAAATCACGTTCTATTAGGAAAATCCATACATTGCATGAGATACAGGTACAGGTTGAAGCTCTCTGGTTTGGGACTTTCTGGTCTGGCAACATATACAACCATGGATGTTGCTGGATGTGGCGAGATCGGGCCCCCGGCCCTTTCGCCTCTATCCCCCCCGCAGTCTCGGCACCCCGAGTCTGGTGCCCCTTGCTCGGGCCCTGGGTCGTTGGCTGCCCCGCCCGGGCTTTCGCTCAGCCTGGGAATGCGGGCTGGCCCCCGGCTCTCAATCCCGCTCACGGCTCTGCGACGGGGGCTGGTCCTCCGTCGGGCTCGGCCGTCGGTTCGCCGGGCGTGTGGCCGTCCGCTGGCGGCTCCGGTCCCCGGTGCCCCCGGCCGGGGAGTCTCGCTGCGCAGGGCACGGGCTGCGCAGGTCCAAAGTCCCTCCTCCGTCCCGCTGGCTCCTCCGGCCTTTCTCTCCCTGC